CGGCGAGTTCGAGAGAGCCCCCCTCTCTCCCCATTCCTCTCTGGGTCTGCGGGTGTTTTAAATGGAAATGGTGGGGAGAGTCCCGCCCGCGATACTCAGAGAGAAGCGTTTGTGGATCATCTCGTCCCCAGTGACCACATCACCATCCCGTCCCCATTCCCACCTACCCACCGTGCAGTAGATTAGCTGGTGGTGCCAAAGTTTGTGCCTCACCACAGTGCATTATTTGAATGTCACACTTTGTTATGTTGCATATTTTGAAATGAAAGTATACCAAATGTAAAATGCCACTTGCATTTTTTTTATTGAATCCGGGGACAATTTGCCGTGAACTGTCTGGGGAGAGGACTTCGTCGCCATTTCAAACACCAGAACCAGAACCCCTTCAAATATCGCGCACGCGACCAGCGACCACCAATGTCACATGCGGCTGCATAGCGGGTTTGCCTACCTACTGCTTTGCAGGCGCTACATGCACAAAACTCCCAAACACACAAAAAAGAGACAAAAACAACGCGGCCTAGCAACCAAAAATCAAATACAGTAAAGAACGAGCAGATGATTTATATAGCAAATTAATTTGGTACACCTTGCAACTTGTTTTTATTTGTCTTAACGAGTGTTACACGTTATGCCCTCGTCTTATCCGTGGATGACTCCGAGGCAGATGAGCATGTCGAGGAAGACGGCCCCGGGCAGTACGATGGCCCCCAGGATGGCGATGACGGGCGCGATGAGGAGCCCGAAGACAGGGATGTCCTGGCAGATGGTGACTAAGGCCTTTACAGACTGGAGGCCCTCGTAGAAGGCTGCGCCAAAGCCGAGGAGGACGCACTGATCAATCGACGAGTCTTGGGGCACAAGCTCAAAGGTTTTGCGCTCCGATACCGCTGCGGCCTGCAATTTCAGGAAGATGCATAGTGTGTGCGGAAACTGCACTATGATGGAAAAGAAAAGGGCATGCAAGTGCTCATCACTACGTCGCAAACACTTGTAGGCAGTGGTTGACTGGATATTTGAAATACTGGAAAGTGTCCAACAGTAAACGTTGAACGTCTATAAAGCGTCGTTCAACTTCAGGGTTGGCTATGCAGCCTGAAACTAGACACTCTTTAGTGTCAAAATCAACTGTTGCACACTTTTATGTATTCAAATTTTAAGTTTCAACTCCTAAAAGTGTGCATCTTGGCGTTGAAAACTACAATGTTCATGCCCGAGGGGTCTGCAACTCGCCTCAGCCGTGTACTTTTGAGTATAGATTATAAGGATTATAGCGTGATTATGAGATTATAAGAATGATTATAAGATTATA